TCAGTCCAGGCCTTGGGTAGCTCAATGTGAAATCGTTAGAAGAACCTGCAGAAGACACCTCGCTGAACTTAAAATGTTGACCCCAACTATTTTTCCACAGTCTGTCACGTTCCCTGCAGGCAATTGATAAGATCTCGATGGCTTTTCACATAGTGACTGCTGCTGACTGCACCTTTTGTCTGCCTCCTCCCCTCACCAGAGCATATGTTATAGGTATGACTCTAAGGCCGGTGGGGTTATTAGTGCCTTCTTATGTCCAGCTTGGGGTTCCTCATGCACTAAGGATCTTTAGGTCCACTAGAAGATTTTTGGAAATTAAAGGTCAGCGGTAAAAGTGTATGTTAATTATTTTGGTGTCAATTTTTTAAAAAAATAGTTCTGATCATCTCTCCATTTATTTCTGAAAATGCATGTGATGAATAGATCAGGTGAGATTACTATTAATTTTAAAGGTTACCTGAAACTGGTGAGAATCACCTGACATCACTATTGTATTTTATACAAAGGAAATTATTGTTCTTCTAGTTGATAGGAAACATGTGACATACAATGAAAGATTTTCCCAAGGAGTAGGTAGCTGTGTTGCGCTTTTGTCAGATTCACGTTGCAGTATTTAAAAGCACTTCTGAAAAATACTGGCAATGAATGAACGGTTTGGTGGTGGTATCCCTATGAGCCATGTAGCTGGGAAGTCTGAGTTCTAGTCCTGGCCCATGTGATTGATTTGCTGTGTAGATTTGAGCAGTTTCTCTCAATTTTGTAAAATGGAGATAATAGCACTTAATGATCTACCTTACAGGAATGCTGAGAAATATTTGCAAAGCACTTTGAACATGACTACCGTGATACAAGTTTTAAGTATCTATATATATATCACCACATCGGTGTAAGACTATGTGATATATAAACCCAGCATGAAAATGCTTTAAAGAAAGTCTAATGCTAGAGAAAGCCCACAAAGTGGGTCTCCTGGCTTGGCCTGGAAAGGCTGCAAATACAGAGGGACCCCATGTACGAGGACTGTAGTCCTAGATTCTCTTTAATATGAGCCTGCCTCTCTTGCCTCCCATCCCCAGTTGGATCCCTTCCTTTCCAGTCTCTTTGCCCGGCCAGGTAAACTAGAAAATCCAGCAATTATTCAGCTCCTCAGCCTAGCTTTGGAGTGGGGTTAAGGGCTTGATTCATCCCGGTATCCACTCCTGTTGAAATCTATCTCCTTAACACTTCAGAGACTTTGGATGATACTTTAAAGTAGCGAAATATGAATATGTGCTGGGATTTTCTTTAGGTATTTGTACATGCATAATTAATGGCTTGGTTTTTTTCTTGGGAATTACGACTTAAATTGTAAGAGGATTTATCTTGAGTGAGATGCAAAAGAATTAGAGAATTACAATTTTAGAAGTTTTCCAGCCAATTGCTTTTCAATTACAGGGTCAGTTGGTATACATCTCGTGCTTTATTTTTTTAGAAAAAAATAGAAAAATACTTTCATTTACGGATCACACATGTTTTGAGCACTCACTGGTAATTAAAACACACTTCACATCTAGGATGAGTCTAAAACCTTTATCCTGTGTTGACCATAGTGATCATATAACCGTAGTGATAGGTGGATGTGTTTAGCATCACATTTGCCTTACTGCAAGTAGCTGATTCTATTTCAGATATCTTACTAGGTTCTGTAGCCTGTTTCATTGACTGAGGCTATTGAGGAGAGCAGTTTGGCCAATAATTTTATGGTGTCCATTTTTGATATCTAGGTACTGAATGGATATCAGTTGCATTAATGAAGACTGACTCCCGATCCTGGACACTTGGGGAGTTTTGGAATTGTCTTCTTTTTTAACATATCTGTGACCTGACACAGATTTCTGAAGTAAACATTGCAATTTAGATGTCTCATTTGCGAAGTAAATGAAAGTGTTGGAGAGGGCTTGGTTTGGAGTGATGTGAGGTATTGACAGCCCAGAGCATTTTTTTAAGCCCGTTTCTGAGTCTGTAGATGAGCATCTGTACTAAGAGTCTGCGCACTGAGAGGGGAGTGCTGGAAAAGCAGAAGCAAGAGAGACTTTATGTGCTGCCTTCTGCTGACTCACTCCATTCCCCCAATTTCCCCTTTTAAAAATATAGGCTAACAGAAGAAGTAAGAGTTGTTTGGCAGATGTGAAATTGCAGATTACCCCAGAGGGTTATGAAAAAGGCATCTGCAAATATACTAAGTCAGTGGCGTGGGAGACCCTAGAAAAGATACTGTAGTGTCTTCAGCAGAAGTAAGTTTCTGCAGCCATGGAACGTCAGAAAGCAGATTTGGGAAGGTCATTGTACACAAGAGCATGAGGCAGACCTCAGAGTGAACGAATTTAGAGGACTACTGGGGCAGTAAGGGGGTATCAGAAAGCATAATGTAGGTAGAGTGAGTTTGTGTGCAGGCTTGCAAGAAAGTATAAAGAGCTCATTTTTTATATCTTTAGGAACAGGAATCCAAATACAAGATGCAAATAATCTTGAATCATGTGGTTGGAAGATTGTTTGGGCAGTGACAGCAGTTAAGGGTACTTGGCCTAAGTTCAGAAGGACTGAGTTCAGTTTGTGTCAATTTTTTTTCTTGGATGGGCTCTAGGGCCCAGGTGGTTCAGGCCCAGCACACTGCTCTGCCTTATGCTCCTAAGGAGAAACAGTAGAGAGGAGCCAGAGACTCCAGCTAAGAGGAGCATCCTGCCAAATCAGGACCTTCAGACATACAGAGAGCTCCAGGATGACTGGAGTTTCTTCATCCTCTTCTGTTTGCCTGTATACTCATTTTCAACATCATCTTCTCTGCCTAATCCCCCTTGCTCTCTTTCCTATCTTTATACATTTACTCTTTATCCCGTTATCTTCCTCCCAATCCTGCCTAACTATAAATCTTGAAATTAAGATTTTATGTTTTGCCATGTTGTTGTTCGCTCTCCTCACGTGTTAGATCTTTCATCCATCTTGTATTTCTCATGTTTTCTTATGTTATAAGCTCTTTGTACGTTATAAGCAGGCATCTCCTGTTGTTTTGAACAAGTAAACAGTGCTGCTACATTGCAGCTCTGGGTTTGGCTAGTGCAGTACAGTATGTTGTTTAGGCTTTTAACTTCTATAGGCTCAATTTTCATTTCAATTTAAGAATTTGATTCTGACTAAAGTTAGAAGTCTAAATGCTTTGCTGATTCTGAGCTTTAAGAACTAGCAAAATAATAAAACGTATGACCTACTCTAATTCATATATTGTCTTTGCATTTTTTAGTATTGTAAAAAAACAAAGAGAATACATAAAATATTTCTGACTTTTTTTTTTAATTTAGTGTAAATTACTTGTACATGACTTCCCACTTTGAATACTGTAATTGACAACAGGTTTACCTTTTTTTTTAATGACCTAACATTACATTCTCCCTGATTCAGCAGTGTTAAAATTTCACCAAATAAATTCTAGCTGCCCATGACGCAGACTGCTTAAAAATCAGAGCTGATTTTATACACTCAGACCTGGGTGGAAGTCAGTGTTGGGGTTTTCTTACCTTTGCTTGCCCGAGGTGCTGTGAGCAGCAATGGTCTTTGGTTTCTTTAAGAAAAGTGAAACAGAAAGGTTACTAGCAAGTCAGGGAGTCAAAAGTATTCAAAACCAAATAGAAAACCACTTCACACTGTTATTTTGTCTGTGATCAGCACCCAGCCCAAATTCTTACTTTCAAGCTTCTGTTGAATACAAGCTGGAACTCCATCCAAAAAAGTGCTTCCAGTTAGAAGCTGTAAAGGTTGGAATGGCTAAATGCTGGCATCCTGAGGGAGGTGATGTTCAGCCTGGGGACTAGTTGTACTCACGTCCTGCAATGCAACCTTGTGTGGCAGTTTCTTCCTTTCCCCTCTTCCTTTCCTTACTGTAGAATTCAACATTATGTGAGCGTAAGTATTTGTACTCTGACTTATGCAGCTCTATATCCTGCAGAAAGAAACTGCTCAGTGCCAGATCTTCTCACAAGTGCCTTAAAATAGCTCTAACTGAACTGCTCCTAATGGCAGTATGAGGCTCACCCAACATTTTCTCCTCCTTCTACTGCCAGCTTCAGCCTTCAATAGCCAACTGAGTTCATCACTCTGAGCTTCCCCCCCCATTCCAGTCGTGCACCTCACTGTATAAACACCCATATTTCTATGCTGTGTGCATGCAGCACAAAGATGTGCTGTGGCTGTAATCTCCCCGTTAGCCCAGGGACCACGTCACAGGACTGGCAGTGCTGTAGCTTCTCTCTGGGATCAAAACAGTCCAGATCAGGGAGCTGGACAGTAGTTACAGGCTTGTGAGAGAATGTAAATCTCAGACTCTGCAGGAAATGGGGGATAAAGCCTTTTCTCTCCCAAAGCTCCAAACAGACTTTCTCTTTTCTTAAACATTGCTTCCCAGTACGAAGCTGGTTCAGGCTTAATAGACTGATTACCTAAACTTTACTGGCCTGAATCAAAGTGGAATAGTTTCAGTTATGGCCTAAATCAAATCAGGGTGAACCCAGAAGCTGCTTGATGCCTCACCTTTCATTAATAATGTAGCCTAAAATACAAGCCACAGTAAAATGCTGGTTTGAGTCTTTTTGTTGGCGTCAATTAAATCCTTCTCCACTAGAATATAGATCTCTTGTGGCCTTTTAGGATGATAAGTTCATGTTGGATTTTAAGTTTGTGTTTAATAATGAATGTTTTACTTAATGGCAATTAAGATAGTTAAATCATGGTTTTGTATTTAGGATTAACAGAGTAAGAAGCAAATGTGAATCTGATGTGTTCAATTTGAAAATATCAGTGTGCAAGAAGTGGCAATTATATCAAACACGTCTGGGTTTTCCTCGTGTTTCTGCACAATTGTCCATGAGGTAGCTTGAAAGTTACATCATTGGAGCTGAAAAGAAATTGTGGTGAGAGAAAGAGCGGAATCTTTGCCATCGTTAATAACTGTCAGTTTGTTTGAATTATAGGCACTTCTCCTGCCTGTCTTCTAAATATATGTGCCCTGGTGTTCCAGCAGTTATGAGCACGTTGTTGGCCAATATAAATGCTTTCTATGCTCATACTACAGCAGCAACTAATGTATCTGCCTCAGATCGGTTTGCAGCTACTAACTTTGGGGTAAGTAGACTTTCTTTTCTAATAGAATACTAGTTCTAATCTTTTTTTTTTTCTAATATATGATACCATATTAACTTCTAAATTCAAACATTTTTAAAAAGTTGGTCATTTTAAAGAATAAGAGTTGCTATTAGCTTTTGAAAATTTTACCCCGAGTCTTCACAATCAACCACTATAAAAGCTAGAGAAGATACTATTCAGTTCCTTATATAGTGATGTGTAAGGCATATAGGGTAGAAAGCACTGGCACACATGCATAGTACTAAAATCTTCAACAATCAGGTTTTGATTTTATTGCAGCGGGGACTGCAATGAACTAACTGCACTAGACTAAGTATCGGTTGCAATTGCTTTCCTGGGCTATGTGTCATCAGTGAACTCATTAACCTAATGGATCTAGCCATAAATACTATTTTTCTTCTCACAAGAGCCTATAATGATGCACTCTTATTTTTGCTGAAATAATGGTGCATTGTCCAAGTCTGGATTTTAGGTATCAGAAATTTTAGGAGGAATACCAGCATCTCAGGATGTGGTAGTACTTTTTTTTGGTTGTTGGAAAAGTTTTGCTAACTTTCCTTCTGTAGATAAATATCTCATAGTGTGGACTTTCTAGTCTTTGAACATGATAAAAAATAAAGACACGTTCACTTTATATTCTAATTTGTTCACCTACTCTGGTGAACTCTCATCACTGGGGAGATGAGAGCAGGAAGGGAGAGCAATAATTCAAAGAGGTTGCTTTCATATCTCTACTATTACTCATTATATAGTCAGAGATAGAATATAAACACAATTCGATGCTGAAAAATGCATTCATTCCTTCCTCTTTTTTTTGTACAGCTGTTATTTGTATGGCTGATATCAAAGCTATTTTTCATTTAACAGTAGCTATGGAAACATGATAATGTTTTCTAAAATACTGTTTATTGACATGAAATAAAATATTAAACATAATTAAAATCTGTAAAATACAAATTATAGTTGTTTGAAGTGGCATTAGAGGTACTAATGCTCTTCTCCAGTATTAAGAATAATGGAAATATTATGAATTTCAGGATTTTCAAGACAACATTATGAAATTATGTATTTGGACTAGTGAACCAAGAAAGACTTAACTCTGGTTTTGCTTTTGTCTTCTCATCAGATGTCAGAAACACAATTACCAGACTATGCCCAGTAAAGTAATTCAATCCATGCCTGGAAAAAAGTGTAAATGTTTAGTTTTGTAAAGAAAATTTGCTCTGGATGCTAGAACAAATTTTGATTTGTAGCAGCTAGTGTATTAAGTAGAGCATACCTGCATATTTTTTTCATACTGGGCCTCAAATAGTTGAAACTAAATATGAGTTTGCATTTGTCCTGGTATCATGCACAAGTACCTTTGAGATAGAAATTATATCTATAAAACTCACTTTGTGTAGCAATAATACCAAAGATTGATTTTTCTTATTATTGCTGAATCCTGAATGTTCTTAGGATCTGATGCTACTGCTTACAGCTGTAAATAGTCAACAGTTCTAAATACTCCTAAAGTAGTACTAACATTAATATATTTTCAAATTTAAGGGATGTCATAAGGCTGTTTAAAAAAAAAAAAATTAAAATCCATTAAGTCATTATTTTCAGGTAATTTTTTTTTAGAGAAATATTTACTCTAAATATCAATTTATTTTTCTTTTAAATGTTAAATCTGGTGGAAGTACTCACATATAAATGTACCCAGGGCTGGGTCTTTAGTTTGGAGACAGCATGTTCTTGAACTGGAACTTTATCTCATGCTGCTAGAGGTTTGCTTTGAAAGAGGAATATTAACATTGCTCCATTACTATGAAGTAAAAAAGTTTTATAGATGAAAAGCACTATCAGAATATTTATGATTTAATTATTGTATGACCATGATAGCACAATATTGCTCTGTTCTTATTCAGGTTTTCTTTTATAAGCTAATCAATGGTTCATTATGGAATGACTCTACATCTTTGTTGAAACAAGGCTACTCTTTCAACCTTCAAGCTCTATTGGACTTCTGAGTTTGATCCAGCTGTTGAAATTTAGAACGTTTTTGCTGGATTTTCTCTTTTTTTTTTCCCCTTCCATTTTTCTAACCATCAGAACTACTTTCATCCTCAGATTGGACGGAGATTAAGTCCTCTCTCTGATATTAATGCCAGTTTTCCTTTGACGCAAATTCCAATCCAATTCATAGTTCAACAGATGGATGGAAAGAGTAGTAAGCATCACTAACAGAGATTTGGAGCTCTTTTTTCAAACAATTGACTTATAGGCAAAATATTAGATTATTTTTCTCTTGGGTTAAAAGGCATTTGTTAGTGGATAGCTGCACATCATTCATCAAAAAGAAAATCTCAAATTCAAGTCCTCAGGCTACAGCTGGGAAGGATTTGGCTGACTGAATATTTCAGTACAGATTTATAACATGACAAAAAAGTTGCCTTTTGATTGATCCCTTAAGGGAACTGTGCCAAATTCGTGGCTGGTGGAGTAGGTTAGTGCTCCACTGATGAGAGACGGTGCACAAAGAACTCTATTTTCATATTAGTGTCGCTCATCTTTCAGGGATGGTGTGGATACAATCATGCATTCTGAGAGCTATTAGATCTTGCTACTTCCACAAGCCTGCTGCTTTCACACAGGCTGGCAAGGATTTCTGCACAATTTTGTGCAGTGGACTGTGGAACACGTTCTAACATGAAGACTGGTAATTCGAAGCTCTCATTAGTGTTACTTGAGAACGGCACAACTCAGCTGGGTGTCTCACAGCAAAATGTTTTCACTGCACCTTCAACTATAAGATAACAAGTTAATCTCCGCATTTGAAAGGGAAAACTATAACTGCATAGTATTACTTAGCTTATTCTCACAAAAGCCACTGTTTCTGAAGTATAATTTTCATTCATACTTTTACACCAAATTCTGCTGTAAATGAGCATTATTTCTTACACATTAGAGGGAGGGGGGAAGTGCTTTCTTTGAGTGTAAGCAATTACAAGGCAAATATAAATATATTTTATTTATATTTTATAAATAAATATATATTTTATAAATATAAAAATTTAACAAACTTATCTGTTTTAATAAGCCTTGCTAACATAACTTAAAACTTTGGACTTTATATTAAGTTGATGCTGTTATTGTATTTTTGGTCAGCGACATCAGGCAATGCTTTTCAATTTCTAAATATTTTGAGTTATTTAACAATGCATCAGTCATTAAGAAAGGAAAATGCTGCATAGGAAAGTATGTCACCTCACTAATGTTTTGCACAGCTGCACAGTATTGGATGCATACCAGGTAAATCACAATATAGAATAGAAAGGGAAAATAAAGTGATAAAAGATACATTGCCTGGCCTTGAAACACAGATATCTCAGACCAGCACTTTTATATGAAACAATGGAAAACAGTCTATCTTTCAAATAAGTTAAGCATTGGAAGTGGCTTTCTAAAAACCCACCAATACAGGAACATGCAAATTCTTATGCAACATATTCTTGTTTTCTTTTTACAGAGGGAAAAGTTCATAAAACTGCTGGATCAATTGCACAATTCTCTGAGGATTGATTTATCTAAATACAGGGTATGTGCAACGTATTCTATCTAGAGGAAAACTGAAATGTTTTTTTGTGTAAATATCCATGTGCGCTTTATCTTCTTAGAGAAGTTTTAGAGATTAATCCCTCTTGTGGCATAGAAGCTGAAAATATTGGGTGCTGACACAAGACCCCAAATCCTTTGGAACAAAAACTTACAGAATTTAGGCAGTTTAACAACAATATTTTTCCAATTTGAAAAAAGTTATTCTTTTCTTTCCAAAGGCTGAGAATGGGTCAAGGGATGAGCAGACATTCAAGAAAGAGTAGGATTCAACAACTTTGGTTAAATTAATCCATAACTTAAGTTAATTCATCTAGGAATTACCTTCACTGACTCAGGTAATGCAAATTGCAGCTACTGCTGTATTTATTCTGAGAGGCTGACATCTTTGCTACAACTTCCATGCTAAGATCATAGGAATGTTGAAAGAGACTTGACTCATTTTCCTACGTGATAGGAATTCCAGTTTCATTTCTGCCTCATGGAAGCTCTTTCCACTGAGGTATGCTCCAAATCCAGCCTTTCAGGAAAGAAGCATGCACTGAATACCTGCCAGTTATCATACCCTTCTGAACTCCCTCTGCTTTTCCATTCCACTGGATCATGAAACTTTTGGATGATACATAAGCTATTAGGGCTCCATCAGCTATGGCCCTCCTTTCAGCTTCTGGGAATGGCAGCCTCCAACTCAGGGATTTCGCTGTTCATCTGGCTGGCTTTCTAAAACTGAAGGAGAAAGTGAATATTTAAAAGAACCCCAAGGCATTAGAGGTAGTAGAAGTTGCACATACTTGGCTTTTAAGACCATATCCTTCATGCAGCAGTTCATCCTAGGATCTTTTAATTTTGAAGAATGTTATCCAGATAATATTGGAGCATGAGAATATTTGGCTGATGTTTCATTAGTATGAAGCCATTTAAATAACACTACTTCCCATCAGTCTTCCCGTTAACCTAGAGATCATAGCAAAAATTTCATATATGATTTCTTCATTAAGCTTACTACTGCATTTATGCCTACAGGTGATTTATGTACCATGGAGAATGCATAAATGATTTTCATTAGCAACATTTTCCAGTCTTTTTGTAATATTTTTTACTCCATTAATGTTTTGAAAATATCACAATATCGTAAATCATTCATATTACAAATACAGGAGCATTATCAGAAGTGTTCCCATTCATGTCAAAGGGATACTCATCACTGACTTCCTCACAGGCAGAATTCAGGTAACACATGAACATTTCTAATCCTTCCAAGAAGAATCTTTGTTTTCCTAGAGGGTTTTTTCCCAGCGGTTCAAGGATCCTACCTGTAACTCCAATTTTGCATGATTCCTCTCTTCCTGATTCACCAGGATAATTTTCCTGCCAGCAATTCTGAAAGACTCCAAGATCTGAAATCGACTGTGGACCTGCTTACCAGCATTACTTTTTTTCGAATGAAGGTATTGTCCTTTATTTGTGCAATGACTCTAAAAAAAAAAATGCTGTTGCCTTTTATTTTCCAGGAAAATCATACTCTATTTAATACTCTTAATCAATTCATCTCCTTCAGTTTTAAATTAAATCTCTCAACTTACTGAAGATCATTGAAGTAAAGTCACCTTAGTCATACTTTGCATTAACAATGTGGTAAAAGCCATTATCTTTGCAAAATAAACTACTGTCTTTTCCTTTTTTAACAATTATTTTTACATCCCCTGAAGGAAACAAAAAAAAAAGCCTTTTGAATTAGTTTAAAGTCAAGTCACATAAAGCAAACTCAGATGAACTCCTTAGGAACATGTGTCATATAGAATAATGTTTTCCTAGTAGTATCATAATATCACATGTCAAACAGCAAAATAGGTCTGATAACTCTACTTGCTTTAGTCTTTCCCGATGTTGATATCTAGGTGGTCAAGTTCTGAAATATTTTTAGAATGGAATGGTACACAAGGGTATTATGGGATGAAAATACAGAAACACAAAATGTTTGTTGCAATAAAATGTGATTTCACTTTGTTAGGCACTACATAAAGATAATTAATCCATTAAGTTGAAGTTCAAATTAATGTATCCTAAAGTGGAGTAAAAAGCTGAACCCTTTGCTTCAAAAAATGAAGAGCTATTTGGCTGATATTCAGAGGAAAGTACATAATTATATGGTTTAATTATTTCTGAAATAATGGAAAAATCTTTAGGTTTTCCACTAGAAGTGGAAAAGATCCACTAAAGATGTAAACCCTTGGGCACGTATGCCTCTTTCATCATATGAATAATTTCATTCAAATAACAGTTATACAATCTACTTGCTTAACTTAAGTATGTGTTTTAATGCATCTTTAACTAAGATCGCCTTAAGTCAACACAATTTTAAATATTTTTGTCATTGTTATATTTCAACACTTTTCATCCTGTATTAGGGAACTACATTCATTGCAGCACTTGGATTTTTTTGTGTTCAATTTAATTCTGACATTCCACCATTTATGAAATATTTTATTAGGTCCTTGAATTGCAGAGCCCACCTCGAGCCAGTACTGTGGTGAAAGACTGTGTAAGAGCCTGCCTGGACTCAACTTATAAATACATTTTTGACAATTGCTATGATCTCTACTCCCAACTAGTGGATCAGGTAAGGCCAATATGAACTTTTTTCATGCTATTGCGCATTCGTTATTGTTAGTTTACCATAAGTAAATACAAAGCATTCTAGTGTTCCTTCATATCAAAGCACTCAGGTTATTTTCATTTTATTTATGTAGGAATGAGCAATATATTATAAATAAACCCGCAGATGGCTATGAATTCTAAAATGTTTAACAAGATGAGTTTCAAAATGAACATGTTAACTCATAACTTAGTCATCACATTGGACATGACTGTAAAATTGTCCTCTGGCTTTAAGGAAGATGACATTAGATTGACTACTGTTCATTAAGATCTGTAATTGGAAAATAATTTTTAAAAATCTAATATTTCACTTCAGTAGCTTTAGAAAAGAAGCATTATAAATTGTTGAAAATTATATACTGTCTTTCCTATTTTAACACCTATGATAGATACTTGGATCGAAGCTTTAGTAACTGCTTCAAGAAAGCAGGGGATAATTCTATAACATTTCTTAATATTAGTCTGTCAGGCTGAACTGTCAATACAAAATAATTATAGCATTTGTCGTATTCCAAATGCCATGCAAAAGCCTTGAGAATGCTTTTTTTTTTTCTATAATATGGCCAGAGTTTATTCTATAAGTAATGTTAAAATTAAGAAATTTCTATCTGCAAAATTATACAACTGTCTAAAAGGAGCATCACTGCTTTATCACATTACCTCTTGTTCCTTACTTTTGCCTTCTGGGTGGTTCACTGGAAAAATGGTATTTCAGTAACTATTCCTGCCTTGAAAAGGATTAAGTTATTCAGCAAGTGCGTATTTGCTGTGTAGTATATAATAGATAAGAACAGTCAAGCTACATGATATAAGACATCAAATTTTATCTGAAAGCACATTTCACTTGAATCCAGAACATGAATTCCTGTATTTCAGGAGAGGCAGTACATGCTATATGTTCAACTTTCTGAAATGAGAATTTATTTTCTAATGTTGGATTCCTGTTACGTGAGACAACTTATCTCTAGCTCCCAAGCTTTGAACATAAGAATTTCTCACCAGCACCCATAGGCACCCCACACTCTGGGTGCTCATGTATGTGTTTGTTCTCCAACAGACTATATTGCAAGCTGAGTAGCAGTATAAATTAGTAGAAGGAGCAGCTTCAGATGTCACATCTATTTGCCTCATAAACTGTTCTGTTTTCTTGCTAACATTTACTCTGCAGCAATTTGACCTTGTCTGTTAAATGTAATTCAGCTGTTGCTAGACAGGGTATCGCGTAAGTCTGCAGAGTTTATCAGCAGATGCTAGCCATTTTAGTAAACAGTTAAAAGTGAAGTAATCTTAATTCTGCAAAGCATTGTGATACCTGCAAAAGCTTATCTCTATTTAAAAATTATCACTACTTATTTCTGTGAATTCATAAAATAGTTTAGCCTTTCTATTTTAGTAGATGGTTTAAAAATGATGGGGTATTATAGCCTTTCTGTTTGGTATACAAAGTAAAACAATTTTAAAGTGACGCCTCTCTCCAATTTTTTTTTTTTTTTGAGCAGAAAGATGGGCAATGTTAATATTTTATTTTTCTCTTACACAACTCTACTTAATGTTAGAGCAATATGAAGTCCTGAAATAAATAAATAAATTCAGAAATATTCACTCAGCTGGAAAACAATTAACTGCGTTTCACTGTATTTATATGCCTCTTCTATTCTCTTTCAGCAAGTGATTTTGTATGTAGACACTTTAAGCAGACAAGTGTCTACAGAGTTACTGTCACTAGCAAGTACAAGAAATTTTAGTGAAAATGTGCAAAAAGCAAAATTTAAAATTAAGATAAATAGACTACATTCAAAATAACTCTTCGCTAACAGTAATCAAACAACAATCACATATAATCTTAATAACAGAGAGTAAAACTTTCTGTTTCACAGCAGGTGGGAGGCGATTCTGAGAAATATAATCTAACTGTTCTTCCTTTAATAGAGATGAGTAAAATAATTCAAATTACGACCTGAATTTTGTATCAACTCTAGAGTTGTACAAGGAGACTGCCTTCTGCATTATCCACTTACAGTTTGCTACCAATATATCTGCACATGCATTTAATTTTAGGAAGAGCTAAGTATACAGCTTGTTGGAACCTATAGCTCTGGAGGTTTTCCAGTGAATCCAGGTGCACTGCAGACTGGCTTGTGGTATCACTGTTATAATAATGAAGCAGTAACCAATACTGTAATTAACATTTCATTAGCTTTGTGTCCAAACCCCTTAGTCTGATTAACCAGATTCCACCCTTAGGCCTTCTTTGTTAACCATTCTCTTATCTCTGCTTGCCTCCCCATCGGATGAGGCTGCCTACCCTCAGAGGGAGGAAAGTTCACCCTAGCATGGTAGTGCAGCACAGGAGGTTCATGTTTTAGCTGCACAGCTGAGATTTGAGCTGTGAGTAGTGAGAACTGAAATCAATGAACCCCAAAGCAGCAAGAAATGGTTCATATGTAGGTCACCACCTGCTCTCACTCAGGGGGAAAGACCGGCAGCTGTTGTCCTGCCGAGGCCCACTGCAGGCTCAGGGGTTTACCATGGTTCATTTCTTGCCTGAATCATGTTGTGGATGATGATATGAAAACGTGGAACCTAGACGGTCTACTTAAACAGTAGTATTTCCATCTGGTCAGAAGTGGTAGGTTCCTGCATGTTATATATACTATCTCTGTGTGTAACTCATGTTAACCACCTCCTCCATTTGCTTTTGTCTACAACCTAAAATTCTCAAAGATGCCTGCCACAGTATTTCTAGAATATGTTTAATGTCTGGATGTGTGTAATTGTCTGATTTTGGGGTGAAAATACAACAATGAATGATGAAATTGAGGGTGCTCAAGCTCGAGTTTGAGGAAATTTATCACTATAAGAAGAGTAACAAGTAAATCATAAAATATGCTCAGCAATCCCCGCTTCCTCTTTATAACAGACAATCACTGTTATAAAGCAAATATCTTGCAGCAAAAATATCACTCCTGGAGAACAGCAATATTTCCTGGGGTGAAGCCTGGTAAATGCTAACAGTATGCAAAAATGTCATGCTACAGGTTCATACCAGAATACAAAGAATAGCTGATGACAAAAAGTAAATGAGTACTACAGATAGTAAAAATGATGTCTTGACAGTCTTACTGACGCATGTATTATTGTCCTCATAATTTGAGACGAAGCACTCTGATGAGGAACTACTATGCAGCAGATGTAGTATTTTCTCTTTTTAATTAACACTGATCTGAGTGAAGATGTAGCTGCCTTATGTTGAAAAAAATAATGCCTTGAAAAAGTAGTTTAGGAAGCATTTTGATAACTTTCTGACTCAATTTACAAATATGTCACTGCTTCTGTTTTCTTAAGAAAAGAAAAAAAATTTGAAATCTTTGCTGATGCTCACAATGACTGAAGTCCCTTCAATAATTCTTTTTGCAGTCTTCTCCACTGAGTGAAACCAATAAAGTGCAAATCAAACTCTTCCTGTTCTCTGAAGAGCTCTTGATCAGTACAAATCATTTCATGACCGATAGCACCAGTATACTGGAAAAAAACACTGGGATACTCTATATTTGACACCTGCTCAGCAGAATAGTATTGAAATTCTACCTGATTTTGGAGACCTTTTCTTTGTCTGTTACTCAGCTCTGTGTGTTGTCACAGTGAAGCATGGTGCAGAATACCGGGAGCTAGCAATGAATTAACTAGTTCTGGAGCCAGGTGTTACACAGCTGTAGCAGCAGAGTGCTCTTCCCTTGCAATTTCTCTCTGCTTAGAGGTATAGCACTTTAGGTCAGGTCAATAATGTACTAACAATACCCTAGCTTTTAGGAAGCAGAGTTTCCGTGTTAACAAGGTGCTGCGGACTAGCACATGGATGGACCTATGCTTTGAGAGCTGGCTCGGTTTTGCTGTACTCATCTGTGAATCCCTGTGGTCACTTTTCCAGTTGGGATTTGGGAATCCGTGCCACTTAGTTGCTTTTGAAGGTGTACCTCTTTTTGTTTGGTAGAAATGACAAAAAATTGGTAGATTATTAATTTCTTATAGAAATACTATAAGAATTGAATCACGAAGCATGTGATCTGTCATCTCCAAACACATTCAAAAGTACGAAGCGGGAAATGAAGTTGTGCAGTAGTGAAAGCTAGAACTCCCCAGGGAGTTCTGTTTTTCAGGCATGCGAATTTCAGTGCCAAGTAGTACTTGTGAGGCACTTTGTTATATTTACATACTGCTTTGGATGCACTGAAAAGGTTCTAACTTCTTCAAATTTGGCATGCAGAGGGTACTTAGAGACCTCTTCTTATGTTGTAGCATCGTGTTTGATGGGCAGCATGTTAGCCACAGTAACAGAAGAACCTTTGATAAAGCACTTTAGAATAGCAGAAGGATACATTTTTGCTGTGACATTTCAAACCTCGTTCTGAGACTTCTCTATCAGAGAAAGACCAATTCTTACAGATAAAATTGCTTGTCAGAAGCTTGTCTGAGAACACTGGTTAGAACATCAAGAGAACAGCTCATCATCCAGTGGTGGCAGAGATCTGGTAAAAGAGAAAGTAGGAAAAGCCATAGACCTTCAACCTTGAAGTAAGGAAGGGTAGTAGTATTGTCATCAGAAGAGGTGAACAAACAAACTGCTTTGTTATCCAAAGCCTTATACTCTTAAACTGTTCATGTTAACTCTAGGTGCATAGCAGTGAACTGTTGTCAGTTAATGTTAGATCTCCAAAAATCCAAATATTTTTCAGTGCTGAAATCTGAATGCTGGTAAAGGTTGGTTATTAATTAAGAACAATGAGCAAAGTAAATGTGAACTTTACCCAGGCCTTAAATACAGATTATCTCATAAACAACAAAAGTCTAATGAATATTGATTTATGTGAGACTGCAGTTAATTCACAATCTAGCCCCTTTAGTTGTGAACATAGTGTTTTTAAAGGTAGTTCACATAGCTCTTTGCAAACAGTTTGCTTTGAT